TCTTAAATTATTTTACCCAATGTTTTTTAAAAAAAACATCTAATGCATAGAAATTTAATTTAATTTTTTTATTAATTTCTTTTGGGTTAATTTCAGTTGCTTTTATATCAAGTAGTAATTATCTTGTCTGAATTTCTCAGTTATTCTTCATTTTTTATTTCTTTCACCTCCTTTTTTTTTTTTTTTTTTTTTGCATTTCTCAAGCAAGTTATTCTATAAGTTACAAAAACTCAAATCTCACCATACAATTTTAATTCTATATTTTCCCTGACATGTTGCCATATTTAACTACATAAATTTATATTAAAATCTCTTGGATGAAACTGTTAATTATTAATTTTTGACTAGTATTTTTATTTCTGTTTCTTTAGCAGTCTGGAAACTGCACTAAAGAAGCTATAGCTTTAGGTCTGGAAACTGCAATAAAGAAGCTATAAAAGTCAGATGAAATTAATCATTGACAATGCTTCATCTAAGAAATTCAAATATTACTACTAACATATGTATATAATTAACCCAAATTTTATTTTTTTTTATTTCCCACTTTCATTTGATCCCTTCTACTCTCAGCACATTTTTTCTCTCCCATAATATTTCCTCTACTCTCTATAAAGTCTTGTTGAAACATACAATGATACCATTGATAGATGTTTGGATATACTGAGGCTTTACCAGTTAATTAACTACAGACCAATGTAGTTAGTTTAAACACAAAGATTCCTTCCTAATTTAATTTCTCCAAAATTATATATCAGACCATTGCAAAAGTTTGTGCATGATTTTCATTATTAATATCAGTTGACACGGGTGTTTTAGATTGAAATCTTACATTGTTCAATTATGAGTCAGATTTTGTTGAATGTTGACATTTTGTCCAATACCTTAAAGATGGAGGATGAAAAGTTCCACTTTCACCATATTATGAATTTATGAAAGGAATAAGTGTCAGAACTGCAATAAAAACATTGAGAAGGTTTATTTGGATTGTGCTCCAGCTCTTCGGTCAGTGATCAACCATGCTCTAGGCAAACTTCTGACATCAATGAAAATGCTCTGCTTACCATCCTGGAGAATAAACACCAAAGATTTTGATGAAAGAAATTGCTAAGAATTTTAAAATTGATATCTTAACTGTCTTTCGCCTTTTAAAAAAAATTTGGTTTGTTTCTAAACTCAACACATTCTCTTATGGAATAGAACAAGCTTGATTGTGTTTTTGCTGTGATTTATTTGCTGTTACACAATAAAAAGGAGCCATTTTTTGACAGAATTGTCACAGATGATGAAAAATGGATCATTTATGAGAGCTACTGAATGTGCACAATTCATGGCTAATTTGAAATGAAGGTTTTAGTGTCTTTTTCGTGGGATTGCAGAGGGATAATTCACTTTGAGCTTCTTTCAGCCAGTGAAACAATAACTACAAAGTCATATTATAACCAACAAACCAATCTCAATGCAGCTATTCATGAAAAATGGTTGATATTGGCAAATCAAACCTTGCAGAAGCTTAAAGAGTTGAAATGGAACACACCCTCCAGTACCCCACCAAATTCTCCTGACTTGGTTCCTTCAGGTTTTTATTTGTTCCAGTCACTACAGAACCATTTAAATGACAAAAAAAAAAAAAAAAAAAAATTGGGACTGTATGATTAGTCAAAAACTACAAAAAACAACAAAAAACAGTTTATATGAAAATGGCACCAACAACCTTGTAGAATGATGAGTTGCTAAAAATAATGAAAAATATATGCGTGTGTGTTGTTTTTTTTTTTTTTTTTTTTTTTTTTAGCGTTTCACCCCAAGCAAGGCGAGAGGCCACTAGGATGCAAGGGGTTACAGAAAATTTGGAGCAAGACCAGATAGGAGTGATAGAATAAAGGATGAGGAGAAGGGTAGTGGATAGATCAAGGCAATTGGAGATGTCGATTGACATTACATTTGAATAACTGGAGATTATAGCTCTCAGGGAAACTGGAATAGGGAAGGGAGTTCCACAGGTGAGAGGTGTGAGACATGAAGCTATTGGAGTAGAAGAGACGGCTACTAGAATAATAAATTTTTTTTTCCTATGTAAAGTTTTATTTTTAATTTTCTAATTGTGCAAAAACTTTTGCAATAATCTAATACTTAAGTAACAGTAACTCACCAATCAATACTTCTAATCTGTTAAACTATGGTATCCCTACATTAAACAGCTTACACTAAACCTAAGTCATTTCTTCCCTCTCATTTATAATTTATTCAGTTTTAATTTTGTCTTTTACTTACCCCCTGCCCTATGAGTGGTAGAGAATAGTCAACTTTATACACACCTGTTTCTAATACCATTAGTGTATGTAAACAAAGATGGTAGTTAGAAAATAAAGAAGAAATCTTTATAGCTAGATTTGAGCTTTTGTTGGTCTTTGTGGTCTAATCAGTAAGGCTTCATGAAGAAAAGGGATGTGAGTTCAAATTTCACTGGAGACTTGCTTTATTTCTGATGCATACTGCTTTGTAAGGATTATAGATTGACTTTGAGTGTTGGGATAAAAAGCAACAAAAATAAGATGAAAGAAATAAAAGTAAAAATAGTAATGATCATCAAATTTATTGTTTTTTCTTTTTATTTTTCTTAATTTAGAATAGAGAATTGGTTTATATTGCCATTTTATTGGTACAAGTATCTTCAGGAAATTTGTCAGAAAGTAATCTTTTTATAGTTTTATAACTTCATGTTACTAAATGTTTATTATAAACATTAGTGGTTTAGTTTTAGTTCCAGAGTTGAGAATAGGAAGTAATGATTATTTCATAGTAAGTTTGATATGTATTTAAAGTAAATTAAAATCATGATTAATTTTAAAATACTGAAAAGAATCTGGAGAGTTCTATTCATTGTCCTGTTTAAATGCTTTGCATTTCAAGTTATTGAATATTTTAAGCATTTTATGTTGGTACTGGCAATTTATTCTTCAGATTTAAGAATAAAAAATAAATTTTTCTGAATGAGATTTTTCCTCTAGTTTGGAAATTGTTAAATATTTTAGCTAAGTAAAAGTTAAACATCCTGTATGTGGAATTTATTTTCTGTCAGCATTGCCTCGTAAAAGGGGATGTTTTTCATATTTCCTTACAGTCTTAACATGCTGTAAATAAGGTCAAAGTGTATAAATGAAATTAAGCTTTCCATCTTCAAACCATATGATGCATGTTATAGTTTGAGTGTATATCTCAATAGTTCTCAGTTTTTTTGTCCAATGCAACCTTTTCACCAGAAGTCGGAATGTCACCCCACCTTCCAAGATTGTCCCACTCAAAAGTTGCATTCCAAATAATATTCATCTATTATTGGAAATCTTTGTTCTTTTTTTCTATATTAGTACATATACATTTATATGGATTGTTTTTTATAGAGGTGTTTTTTTATGCTCCTGATGGTCTCCAAATTCTGTAAATAAAAAACACGAAAAAGTAACCCCCTCCCAAATCACTGAAATTTTCCCAGAGGAAGGGGGGGTGGCTTGGTTGAGAATCTCTGGTCTATCTGATTCAGGCTTAGAAGTTTTTTGATGCCAACTGAAAGTCTTTTGAATGAGTAAACATTTCTTTATTATTTGCAGTTAACTTACATCTTGACTGTTTTTTGAAGAATTTGTTGTATAGTTTGTACAAAATATATGGCTTGCATTAGCCTCTGGTGAAATTACTAGTTTGTGCATTTGTTAAATGAAAAGGATGTTTTGTTTTATTTTTTTTCTTTATCAATTTAATGTCCTTAAGAAGGCTTGTTTATGAGTTTCTCTAAGTAGATTTATCAAAGCATACTTTGCTTGTTGATATCTTGTAACCTCTTAATGACTTCATCATAATTTTTTAGTTGTTCAGTTATGTTTAAAATGTTAATTTGCTTTGTGTTTTCTGAACTCAGATGGAATGTTTTTGAAATGGTAGCAGTTTTTATTTTAGCTTATGAATGCAGTTAATCATTAATTTAAATTGACATTTATTATAGGAATTGCATGATTTTATTCTTGTTACACAAAATAGTGGCAATAAATAAAAATCAGTCTTACTGTCTTTTTGTATAATATGAAATATTGTGCTATAATGTTGAAATGAGTATATCGGTTATGATTCACTTTCAACTGAAAAACAACTTACAAATTCTTTAATTTTGTAGAGTAGGTGACATGTTTGTAATCTGTAAAATGTTAATTATTTTCTATACGCAATTCAAAATCTGTTTGAATATATTAATTTATCTGAAAAAGTAATTGTTGGGATGTTTTCTTAATTACTTTTTCAGATATTGTTTAAAATTATTCAATTTTTACTTTTAACAATTGTTCTAATTTCTCAAAATCAAACCCTATGTGTGTACTGTAAAATAAAGGCTACATTTTTTTTAATCATTTACATAATTTATAGAATTTTTTTTTTAATTTTCCAACATCTATCCTCAGCATTCTTTAAATCTGTGTGCATATTGCTTGTCAAGCTTACAAACTTTATCTTTATTTAGTTTTTTTTTTTTTTTTTTTTTTAGTACAGCACAAAGCTAAATATGGAGATGGAAATTTCAGAAGTTTTATGAAGGCCTTGGAATGGATTCTTCAAAATGTAGCCATAAAAAATGAGGTTATTTATTAAGATCATTTATCAAATGTAACAAATCCAGAATATAAATTAAATTCTTAGCTTAGTCATTTTGAATAATAATAAAAATTGTACTAACTCCTTCAAGAGACAAAAAACTGTATTGTTTATACACTGCAAAATTTTATTGAATGTTTTTATTTCATACTTGAATGGTAAAGAAATTGACATTTTGAAATTTTGTCCTCACTCATTTTGTGCCAAATTAACATTTTTAGACTTTAATTTGTTTTCTAAATAATAGTCCCGTATGTTTATTTTGTTTTATTTTCTCTTTTTTCCCTCCTAGATATTTCCTTGGTTTAGTTAGTTGGCTCCCCGTTTTGGGCAGTGTGTGAATGGGGGTACATCAAAGAAGTATGCAAGACACCAACCACAACCAGAAAAATAATTCACAAGTGAATTCTTGCAACTCACAACAGCAGTCAGTTGGTTCAACTTCAACAAATCAAAATTCAGAAGGAGCAGCTGGCTCCCATCGAACAACTAGAAAGTCTCAGGAAAATAACAAAGCAGAAAATAATGCCCAGCCACCTCTACAAGGTGAGGATACGGAGGAACCGGAGGAAGTTACCTTTGTCATACCACCAACCAAGAAAAATGGTAAAACCAAAACTGGTACCATTCTTCGCAAAGGAGATGAAGTTATCTCTTTTACATTTGAGGATGTAGTCTACAAAGCTGGAGGTAAGTAAAAACTTTATATTTTCAAAGATAGCTAATGAGGACAATATGATATTTGTTTGTATATAATGTGATACCTTTTCTTTTTTTTAATGTGATATGCATGAATATATTTTCATGTATAATATAATCCCCACTTTGGATGGAAGATGTAGTAATCAGCTTTTTTTTTTTTTTTTTTTTTTTTTTTTTGCATATATTCTTATTATTGAGATGATTTTAGAATGCAGTGTAATACTTTGATGTCTTTGGTAACTTTTTTTTTTAAATCATTTCACCCCAAGCACAGCAATAAAGCCACTAAGTTGCAAAGGGGTTACTGACTGAGAGAATATGAGAAAAAACATTATTAAGGAGAAAGCACAATAAAAGAACAAGAAATTAAGAAGGTAACGATTGTCATTACTCTCAAATTTTTAAACATCAAAGTTGACTTGAAAGCAAGAAGCCAGAAGAGTTCCACAAGCGATAAGTACTAGAGAAGAAACTGTTAGCATAGAACTTATGGTTACATCTAGCCATCTCAACTGCAAAAGGATGAGACCTTGCTGCCAATCTAGTACTGTGCTGAAATTCCTAAAGTCTAGGTACCAAAGAGGAAAGTTCATCAGAACAATAACTATGAAAGTATTTATAGAAATGGCACAGGGGAGTTACGTTACAGTGGTTGGAAAGTGATTGAAGGCAAGATGCCAGGTCAGGACCAATAACATTGCAGACTCTTCTTTTTATTTTGTCTAGAATCTCTAAATACAGTAAAAACATCAGACCAGATCTTTACCAAACTTGAGATCAGGTAAAGGTGACAGATTTTGTCATGTAAAATTATCTACCTGCTACATTGGTCACTGATATGTAAAGTTAACATTACAAGCCAAAAGCACTGATATATGCATGTTAGACAAAATATTGCATTAAGGAAACCGTTTCTTCATCTTTTATATTGTGTAGAGATGAAGAAACTGTAGTTCATTTTAAGTCTATATATTTACTATTTCTTCTCACATTCTTTTGGTTAATAAGGAAAATTAAGTTTTCTCTTTTATTCCACTTTGAATCTGTTTCTTGAAATTAAGTAAAAAGCTAATATAGCAGAAAATTTTATCAAACCAAACTGCTGAAAAGAAATTTTATTTTCTGGAATTGTTAAAAATGTTTTTGAAAATCAGTTTCATGGTTTATGCAGGAGTTCAAAACAGATCTCATGTTAGCAGGAAATATACAACTTCCTCAGCCACTAAGCAAGTCAAGACTGCATATATTTACACAGTTTATCTGAGTCTAGCACAAGGTAAAATCTAACATCTTTCAGTGGTTCTACTGTAGAATAATTGAAAAATAAACAAACAATAATTATATCAACAGATATTTTTGTGCAAAGTGAAAAATATTATGCTGACAAGAATCTTGGTCAAAAATCCCTTCTATGAATGAATAGCAGTATGAGATTACCCCACTTTGTCTGGCAATGGACTTTGCTTAACGCCACTAAGTGTCATTTTATTCAGGACTATAAAAGGAAGGGACAAACACTCTCTCTTTCTCTTGCTTTTTCACCTCACCAATTAGGATGCAGTAGGTGCAAACACTTCCTGTTCAGCTGACTAGTTAATTTCAACCTAAATATGTGATGCACATACTCTCTATCACTAATCCTCTAATATTTTTTTCTCTTCTTTTTTAGCTATATGTATACATGTAGATATAATTTTCTCTTTCTTTTCTTTTGGGAGCTATATTGTTCTTAATATAAATATATATATTTAAACCCACAAACTGCATTGAATTCATTTTATTTGAAAGTTTTCAACTGCATCTATTACAATCTTCAACATCATCAACAAGTCATGACTTCTCTTGCTGCAACAGCATAATGTCTTTTTGAAATACTTTAACTGCTGCACAATACCAATGAGTATAATTTTCAACTTAGAAAATTTTGTGACATAAAACTGACCCCAACCAACCACCCAACCCTTCTTTATTTATTTTTTTAATTTATTAGGCTGATAGCAAATCCCAAGTAACTTTCAAAATATTCATCTCATAAACATTTTATACTCTCTTATCAACAAAGAAGAAAGGAGTGGAAAACCTTTGCAATTATATTTACATGTCATTGTTTCTTATTTTGTTCAGATGTTAAAATCTATTTGTCAGACATTTTACTTGATTCTATTAAAAAAAAAATAAACATTTTAGAAGGTTTATAAAAACTGAATGTTTGTTAAACCATATTTGTCTTGAAATACCGAACTTTGGTTGGAATATCTTTGAATTAGTGTCTAATTTCTGTAGATAAGCCAATGATAAAAAGCTTTTTTAGTGTGTGAATTGTGCCAACTCTGAATGTGGTGGGTACACTAGGTATGTGTATGATTTTAATTGTTAATAAAATATCATATAAATATCATATGTGCATGGGTAACTGATTTATAGACTGGAGATTTTGGTCTGCTTCAGAGACTAATAGAATACTTTGTTTACAAGCAGCATCTCTTGAACAGTAGCCTATACAGATGCAAAGTCTGGTTCTTTAAACAAAAATTGAGGTAAAATTGAAAGGTTTTTTTTTTTTTCTTCTTCTTTTATACATTTCTCCAGAAGAGATAGACAAAACAAACACATGAGAGGATGCTGAAAAGTTCTTAGCCCAACAAAGCTTTTTTGCATATATTCTGATGCTTGGATATTGTGTCTGGATGAGAACTTTTCAGCACCACCTTGTGTGTGTGTGTGTGTGTGTGTGTGTGTGTGTGTGTGTGTGTACACAAGTACACATAAATGAAATACTCTTTGAATGTTAAGCTTTGGCCTTATTTTACCATGAAAACATTTCTTGCATAATAAAATCTCACTTAGTGCATATATCTGTTACAGTGTGGGTGTTAATTTGCATACAGAAGGGGTTACTCAAAAGGTCTTAGACCAACCAAGAAGCTCTTTTCCTAGATATTCTGATGCTTGGAAATTGAGTCTGGATGAAAACATTTTAGCACAACTTTGTGTGTGTGTGTATGTGGTCAGGTGTGAATGTTAATAATTTGCAGTTGGACTTGGGTTTTCCTTTTTTTTTCTTTTTTTTTCTTTTTTCTTTTTTTTTGTCTTTTTTTCTTCTTGTTTTCATTTTTCCTTCTTTTTTCTTTTCCCTTTACTAATAAATATCATTTTTTTTTGTTCATAGTTGTCTAGTAAAGTCTAAAATAACAACTTGTCAAAACTCCTTTTCCATAAGGAAATTCATTTATCTTATTGTTCCTTGAGAAAGTCTGTTGAAAGCCTAATCTGAATCCTCGTGATTGTTTTTTTACTTGAGCAGGTGTTTACTGTACATTAAGTCTTTTGCCCAAATACGTTTATAAATATAGGCTTATACACATACACTCAGGAGTGCTTACACGCATACACTCAGAAGTGCTGAAAAGTTCTTGGCATGAATGAGAATAGATGAAAAAAAAAACCAAGTTTGATATTTGGTTAAACTTTGTGAAGTGAATTGGGCCAATAACTTTTCAGCACCTTGTGTGTGTGTGTGTGTGTGTGTGTGTGTGTCCGTGTCCAAGTGGTTAGAACATTAAACCTTGGTAATCTCACCATGATCATTTTCTCAAAGAAAGAGAAAGAGGATCCCAACATGGTACCATTGGAAAATATCTGAAATCCATGGATTGACTCAAGCAAAGTGGGTAGTGAAAACTGTTCAGTTTAGCATGAAGTTACAAGTCATTGTGACTGAGATTTTGAGTGTACTTGCCTTGTTCAACTATGGATCCTGCCAGTTTATGTGCTCTTTCCCAGAAACTGTAACTAAAGTTTGCTCAGTATAGTTACAGTATAAACCACAGGTTGGCTTTGTGAGTGTTGAAGAAACACGTGTCTATGTGTGTGTGTAAAGTTAATGTTACAAAAAGCACTGTTCAATGTAACATATAAAAATATACAGAGCAAGATATAAATGATGATAAAAGTTACTTAACTTGACCTTTTTAGCTGTCTTTATGAATTATAGTTTCATATGCAGGAAGTATAGTAAAATTTTGCTATCCTTCCTGACTGGCCTAAGATTGTGTTTGGTAAAGCTCGATTCTCTGCATATGAAACTAAGTTGAGAATGCAGCTGAAAGGTCAAGTTAAATACCTTTTATCATCATATTAACTGTTCTTAGTTTATTTCTTAAAAATTGTTCCAATAGATAAACTGATGACAGCCGAAATTTATTGTTTTTAATTTACTGTTTTCAATTTCTTCTTTTTATCAAAGAATGATTAATATTTGCTTTCAGATGAACTGAATATCTTCACTGTATCAATTGACAAGAGATTTAGTGACATCAAAATCTGTATTAATGTTGTTCCTGCTTAGGAATGAATGACCCGACAAAGCTTGTTATAATATGTTCGAAGATTTTTAAATTTTAACCACGGAAAACGGACTGATGTTGCTTCTGACAAAATGATTTTGTTATTATCACTCTGAATTTATCTTTGCTTTTATGGACATTTTTTTTTCTTAGGAATATAAACAATGTTGATATGTATATGTCACTAACAATTTACAAGATGTAATATCCATTAGTTCAATTGATTCATATTATTACTATTCAAACTTAGTTCTAATTAATTTGTCTGCTTCATTAACAACTGACTGAATACTGGATTTTTATAAAAGATTTTCTTAAAAGCTGGCAAATGCAGCTGTTTAGCTTGATGTCAATCCCTTTCCTATTTAGATAATTCATATTATAATTATTTGAAAATTAAATAAGGGAACAACTTGTCAAGTGTCAGTTATTTTTTTTTATATATATATAAATATGTAATAACTCTCTCTCTCTCATTAACTAAAAATTTATATATATATATAATAATATTTTTTTTCATAAAAAGTAACAGTATTATTATTTTATGCAGCAATGAGTAATCTTTAAACTTTTCATATTTTTTTCCTTTTTTAATGTTGATAAAAAAATTTTTTCAGTTCTTGTACAAACATAAAAACTTAT